GCCCCTCCCATTGGGCCGCCCCGGCCCCGCCCCGCACGCTCCTTCCTGGGACCTGTCACAGACGTGCCCCATAGCAGACCGCAGACCACAGACCACAGACCGCTGTCTGCGATTTCATAGAGCTTCACCTCGCTTCGGTCGCATCCCCCATTGCATTAGGGGGCGAGGTCAGACCTGCTGGGTGCCCACCACACACACACACACACACACACACACACACACACACACACACACCTTTGGGATTTATGTCCTCAATCTGTCTTTCCCTGCAGGGACACACTGGCTCAGGGATGGACTTGAACAATTGTGAGGATCGGCAGGATCCACCAGTGTTTCCTTCTGTTGCCCGTGGATCGGAACTGACTGAAAGGCAGTTGACAGCAATGATTTACCAAGCACGACTGTGGCCCTGGGTTGAGTCTGACTCAAAGGGGCCTTGGCAGAATAGAAGAGCCCCACGGGGTTTCCAAGGCCCCAGTCTCTACAGAAGCACATGCCTATGTTTTCCTTCTCTGGGGCGGCTGATGGATTCAAACCCCTGACCTTTCCATTAGCAGTCTCAAAAACAAAACAAAACCACAGCGACCCTCCAGCACGGGGTAGAACTGCCCCCGTGGGTTTCCACGGGTGTAACACGTGATGGATTAGAAAGCCTCACCATTCGCCCACGGAGCAGCGGGTGGTTTCGAACTGCTGACCTCGCGGCTAGCCAGACTTAACCACTGCACCCCAGGCCCTTTCGGTAACAAAGTGAGCCAGGAGAACCCATGGGGCGCTTCCTGTGTGGGATTGATTCCTAGAGTATTCACACCTTCGGCTCGGAGAGGTTGGGTATTTAAAGCGTGTGTTGGGGTGGGATGTTGCCTGCTGACACCCTCGTGTCCACCGCCCCCCAGGACTATGGCGTGGCCCTCCGAGGCCTCTGCGAGGACGCCATGGAGGGACTGCTCTTCCTGCTCCTGTTCTCGCTGCTGTCCGCGGGCGCCCTGGCCACCGCGCTCTGCAGCCTGCCCCGAGCTTGGGCGCTCTTCCCGCCCAGGTTAGGAGGGGACACCTGGGAGGGGCGGGACGCATGGGACGCTAGGCGGG